AAATAAATAAATAAATAAATAAATAAATAAATAAAATATATACGAATATATAACAAATATATGTCAATACGTAACAAATATATATAAAAATTCAATTTTGTTCAAAGGTATAGGGCAATTCAGATTTCCTGTTTCATCTTGTGGTAATTTGTTAATTGTGTTTTTAAAGACATTTGTTAATTTCATCTAAGTTATTGAATCTTCTGGCATAAAGTTGTTTTTCTAACTAGCTTTTTACTTATAGATGTTTCTCCCACTAAGAGATAATAAACTCTAGAGCAAAGATTATTGTAGTCTTGGTATTTGCATACTCTGCCTTAAAAACAAATGGTAAGAGACTTATTCCTAGCTTTATCTCATTTTTTTCCTATCCTTAAAAGTCTTAATATCCTTATTTATTTATTATCTTATTTATGCTTTTACATATTTCTTCAGATTTGGGGAATAAGAGTTTACCCTTAATTCTATGAGGCACCTTTCTGATGGGCATACATCTCTTTGAAATCCTTGTTACTTCCATTAAAGTATGCTTTTAAGCAATGCTGTTATTCTATCGATCTTTGCTGCCCTTGGTGCTACTTACTCTTGAGTGTGATTATTGTGTTTCCTTGTAATTTTGAAATTTGTTTTTTCAGTAGGGGACTCTACTCATTGCCTAAAAGAATTCTATTTTAAAATATTACAATATTGGGGCACCTGGGTGGCTCAGTTGGTTAAGCGTCCGACTTTGGCTCAGGTCATGATCTCATGATTTGTGAGTTCAAGCCCTGCTTTGGGCTCTGTGCTGACAGCTCAGAGCCTGGAGTCTGCTTTGGATTCTGTGTCTCATTCTCTCTCTGCCCCTCCCTACTTGTGCCCTCTCTCTCTCTCTGTCTCTCAAAAATAAATAAATGTAAATTTAAAAAAATTTTTAAAATAAAATATTAAAATATTATTAGAAAATCAAACTATATATGGGAATAGTCAAGCAGGCAAGATATTTTAGTTTGAATCTTTTGCTTATAAGCATTATTAAACAGTGTAACAAATATGAAGAAAAATGGTACATACGATTGATTTTGAATTTGAAAAGGTTGACATGACTGATTTTTAAAATCTGACAGATCTGGTATTTCCTCTTCCACTTTGGCTCAAAAAGTTGTAGCTAATACCAAGGGAATAATTTGTAAGCCCAAAGTTTCCATCTGAGATAGACTTCCTCTAATGAAGATTTTGTTATTCTTTTGATGTACAGTTACTTAGTAGCTGTTGCATGTATTTTTATTAGAGAGTATTTTACCTTGCATTATACATATTTGTTCATGTTCCTCAGTCAATTGTGTATACCTTAAGAGCAGGGACCATGTATTATTTATTTGCTTATTTGTTGAATACAGTAATAAGCATGGTATCTATTGAGTAAACCTTCTATATATTCTTATAAAATTAATGAATAAAAATTTAATAAGGTAAATTGTTGTATTGGTTGAGGAGAATAAAGGGGATTCTTTTCTTCTCAAACAGCGTGCAGTTAAAAAATTTGTTATGCTAACATCCAGCCAAAATGTACCAGTGTTCCTTATCGATCCTTTGATTCTGGAATTGATTAATAAAGACTTTGAACAAGTCAAAAATATTTCTCATGGCTCCACTTCAGAATGCAAGTTTTTCTGTGTTCCAAGAGACTTTACTGCATTTGCACTGCGGTATCACCTATGGAAGAATGAGGTAAGATGATTTCCTTTCAGATAACAGACTGTGTCTTTTACAAAATAGTATGGGATTAAACCAGTTAAAATGTAAAACATTTCAAAAAAATCTTTAAAACTTTTCATAAATTGTATTGGGAGTATTTTCAGCTATAAGTAACAGGAGACAATAATGTCCTAAGCAAATAGGGGGCTTATTTTTCTTGTGTAACAAGACTTTGAAAGATTGGTGCTGTTGACATTAGTTCAGCTGCCCACTATGTCAGGGCTGGCATTATTGAAGTTCTTTCTTCATTTTTCTCATCATTGCAAGACAGCTGTCCTGGTTCTGAGGCATCATATCCATGCTCAAGGCAGTAAGATGAGAGGAAAGGATGGTGATGTAATGCGTCCTTTCAAGCAAAAATTTTCTCAGAAGCATCTGGTAAACAGCTTCCAGCTCATTGTTCAGAACTAGACTCATATGTCTTCTTGTTGTGAAGGAGGCTAAAAAGAGCTATTTAGCACTTCCATCAGTGTAGGCAGGCAAGTAGAAAGGGATTTGGTGAAGAACTTTCAGTATCTGCTAAATAAGGTATACATGAAGGCGATATCACTAGTCTACAGCACTGTTCTTTCCTCTTTGTAAGCGTGCAGTATGGTTTGATACTCAAATGGAGTGTGCTTCTTAAGCGTATCCAAAAAATTCAAGCGTCTGTTTTCATCCTGCTTAGTGGTTACAAGGCAAAAGTCAACCAAACATGCCAAAAATCTGCTTCCTTCTTTATCTGCAATACCTCTAACCACCCAAGTTCACTATTTTTCATTCTGAGGAATTATCAAAGTAAGAGTAAGAAAATTAGCACCAGATTAAATGAACTTAACTAGCTAGTCAGCCACCCATGGTAAGTGTGCACTAACTCTGCCGTGGGATCTGTTTAGTCGCCTTCAACCCGGATAGGTAGGCTTATGTCCCAGGATGATGGTGGGAAAGCAGTGTAAGCTGCACGGTCTCTTGATTGCCCTGGGCTTTCCCACAGGGCCGCCGAGACTGAGCTCCGACTTTTTTCTGACCTGTGGTTCTTTCCAGGCAATGATGCCAGTGATGAGACAGATGAAGTGTCCACATAAGTACCTGATTTTTGCTGGCATGTTTTTTTTTTCTTTCTTCCCAGTTTTATAGTTTGAAAATACTTAAACTTATGGAAAAGTTAGGGTGTGGTATTTTCAATTTAATATTTATTTTTAATTAGACTACTGTGTTAAAAGTCAGATGGTGATGCAGAAAGGTGATGCAGTCTGCTCTTCTCTCTTCACCCCTTACTTCCCCTTGTAGAGTCAACCACTTTCACCTCTTTCTACCTGCTTTATCTTCTCATTTACAGATGAAATTTTCTGCTTCTGCCTTTTTAAATATTTCCTACTTACGTTATGAATAACAAGAACTTAACTGATCATCTCTTCTGCCTCCATTTACACGCACATACACACTCTCTTCTCCCATCATCATTAATCACATTTTGTAGTTAAATTAGTAGTCAGTGTTGACCTTATGAATGTATAATCACATGGATGCTACCTAGTTTAATCTCATCATGTTCCTTATACAACTTTCTTCTCCTGTTTTGTTTGCTGGTTTTCTGTGTATCAGTAACCTGTGTACAAACTCTGTAACAGAAACGTAAAACTGTTTTATAATCCAACACATCAGGTAATCTCTCAGTTCCATTTCTTTTCCCTTAGAGACATCCCTTCCAGAGCTTTTGCTCATTTTGCCTTACTACAGACTGATGTGCTGCGCATATATTGTTCCGTAAACCCCTTCACAACATTTTAGGAATTCCTTTCTGAGACCGGATGAATGGGAGGCTGAAACCTTGCATATCTGAAAATGTTTCTGTTTTACTTGCACGTTTGATTTCTAATTTGACTTATACAGCAGTTAGCTTCTGCTGTGTAACCAATCACACACTAAAGTTACTGGCTTAAACAACAATCATTTGTGTCGTTTCATGATTCTGTGACAGTGATTTGGGTAGCATTTAGCTGGGCAGCTCTTCTGGTCTCAGCTAAGCTCAACTTCCAGTCAGCTAGGCAGCTCTGCTTCTTCAGGACGGCTGGCTGGCCGATGGGGCAGTGGAGTCCCTGGACCGCGTGTCTCTTTCATCATCCAGGCTAGTCTGAGAAAGCAAAAGCATGAAAGGTTTCTAGATATTGTTAAAATATTAAGATTTCTTATCCATGAACATAAATATACCTCCTTTAATTCAAGTGTCCTTTGATGAGCTTTGTTAGAATATTGTAATTTTTCTTACAGATTTTGCACATTAAAAAAAAATTTTTTTAATGTTTATTTGTTTTTGAGAGAGACAGAGACAGAGGCTGAGTGGGTAGGGGCAGAGAGAGAGGGAGATACAGAATCTGAAGCAGGTTCCAGGCTCTGAGCTGTCAGCACAGAGCCTGGCCCGGGGCTCAAACTCACGAACCAGGAGATCATGACCTGAGTCGAAGTCAGATGCTTAACCGACTGAGCCATCCAGGCGCCCTGGATTTTGCACATTTCTGATAAGATTTACTCCTTGCTATCTCATAGTTTTGTGTGGGGTGGGGACGGCGTGTGGGTAATGTGGGTATTTTTCCTCTTCCTTTTCCAATTCATTACTATAGGTAGATGGAAATGCTGCATCCTGTTTCCCAGCTACTGTTCTGAACTCTGCACTCTACAGATAAAGTCCAAAGTCTCTTCCTCCCATTCTCCCTTTCTCATCCCCTTTCCCACCTTCTCTTTCCTTTTCTCTCTTTGAATGCGATTGGTTGTATTTTCTGCATAAAAAGACAATTTAGTCTCTTCCTTTGTAACCCTTACACCTAATTTCTTTTTCTTGTGTTATTGATTTAGGTAGTTATTGATTTAGATAGGAACCCCTCCAGGATAGTATTGAATAAAAGTGTTCTTTCTTTCTGAAAGAAAGAATTTTTTATTTCTTGGCTGTTGGACCTCTAGAATTGACTCTCTCATTTTCTTATCTTTGCTGTATGATTTTTCATCTTTTTCTAACTGTTCTACTTTTAAACAAAATCTTTAACAATGCCATTGATTTTTATCATATTCTTGCTCAACATTTTTATATTTTTAAAAAGTTTTGTGTATTCTTGTTTCTTATAATAGCGTTCTTGTTTCGTGGGTGCAGTTTTGTCTTTTTCGCTCTGTAGAATGTCATGTTTTTTGTTTTCTATTTAGTTTTTTTGCCCCCTGCTACATTTTGTTTTTCTAAATCCCTTGTGGGTGTTTATTTTTTGTTATGGTTATTTGTTTTATTTGGTTTTCATGACACAGGCTTTCTGCAAGGTTAATTGCTCTTTGTTCAGTTCCAACTGAAAACCAGTTGGAAGCTTTTTGTTGTGGCCGTGTTTCATAAACTGGTGACTTTCAGCATAAGGTTGGTAAGGCTATGCCAACCTTCTCACTGACTGATTCCTAAACGTCAGTATTTGTTAGCCATTCCTACTGGACTAGGAATCGACATAGAAAAAGACTACAAAGCTTATAAACCTTTTCTACAAAGAGTATTTTATAGTGTTCCTTTATTTTCCCCAAATGAGGTTTATAGAAATTATACCCTGCCTATATACATAATCCCCTAAATCAATATGATGTCTTAACTATAATATAAATTAGAAATAAAAGGAAAATGTGTATTTCAGCATATAAATGCTCAGTCATGACTACACTGGAAAACATAATGAAGTAATTCAGATGGTTGCACTTTTCGGTTAGATCATTGAATGCAAGTAGCTTCAAATATACAGTCATATTATGAATGATATTGTTAGTAGTGTGGTTTTTTAAAATAGTGAGCAAGTTTCCAACAACAAAAAAGTAAAATTGTCTCCCCTTTAACATGGCTGTTGTATTCCTGGGAAGTAGAGGTCTCAGATGATTACGAATAAGGTTTTCACTACGGGACTATCTGATAGAACATTTGAAATTACTCAGGACACAAGGCAGATTTTCATATTTTGGATTTTAGGGTGTCTAGTATTCTTGGCCTATGCCTCTAAATGCCAGTTGTGTCTTCCTCAATCATTATGGTAGTCAAAAATATGCCCACAATTTTTTTAAATGACTCTTGGATACAGTAACACTGGCTTTGAGGACCAGTACTTTAGAAGAAAGGAAATAAGCTACAATTGGCAACACTAATATGACCACAGTCAGTGGAAGAAGCAGAAGGTCAGCAGTACCCAGAATAAGCACACAGGTTCACGTTTGTCCTTTTATACATATGACATCACATAGAGCCTTCCCAAACCCTAAGCCTCCCTCAACCTTCTCCCTGTCCTCCCTAAACCTTCTCCCAAAGGTTAGATCTAGAACACTAGATCTAATTATTGTAGACATAAGTTGCATGTAATTATTCCTTATTATTACCATGACAATAAAGTGAACAAACGACTGCCAAAGGCAACTGGAAGTAGATTTGTGCAGTACAGCCTTGACCTAGGCCTTTGCTCTGTTTGATCAGAGCAACTACTTTGTTCTGACTTTTCTCTCATGATTATAAGATAAGCCGTTTCAGAGTTCCTCCTATTTTGTCTGTCAGTCTTTCTTCCCACAACCCAGGGTCTGATTCCCCTTCAAGGTCTGGCTGGCCTTTTAAATTTTTCCTGGATTTACCAACTTATCATGCATTTCTTTCATCCTGCACCGTGGATTCCGTCTCTGAATTGGCTACTCTCACTCTCAGTCAGTACTTTCCATCTCTTAGCAGACCAAATGAGAAAAGGAAAAAGAGGAGTGCCATAGTTGATCAATCTAATATAGGGAGAATTAAAGTGAAATTGCATTAACGAGGGTAAGTTGCATTAGATGCTATTAAAAAACATCCCTAAAATCTCATTGATTTAGCACAAGAAAGGAGTAATTGTCTTTACCTAAGTACAGTGTGGATATTCTTGGTCAGAGATATTTCTGGATGACTTTTCTCTAGAGATTTAGGGATATAGGCTGTTTCATTTGTGTAAATGGCTTTTCCACCTTGGAGTTCTTTGCTTCCCTAGATGCAGACGTTAAGAGGGAACGCATGAAAGATTTTATGAAGATTGTAAAGCCAGGCCTGGAACTGTTATAGGATATTTCCTATATTTATATTCCTAAATATAGGATTTATATTTATTTATATTGCTAAATATAGGATTCCTATATCCTATATTTCCTATAGGATATTTCCTAGTCAAATTCCTTTGACTAGGGCACAGTTTAGTTCTTTATCCATAAAGGAGAGGACAGTTGTCATTGCTGTTAGCATTCTCTACCGAATTAACACTTCCTCTCATATAAGAGTATAAACACTAGTAACAACAAATATCTATTGAGCACCTGCTGGGTACTAGTCACTCTGTTGATTCCTATGGTTGAGGAACTTGCAGTTTATTGATGGAGTTTAAACAATTAAAAAGCAGTATAATCAATACTACGATAGGGGTCTATGTCTGCTATAAGAGCATGGGTGAAGATACAGCTAATCCAGATAACATTCAACAGTAGTAAGTGATGTGAATAAAGTACTCTTGAAGAATGTTTATGAATGCTGTGGCTTTTAAGACAAACTTACAGACACAGCTCCTTAATTTAATAATGTTAAAATCTGATTATTACCACCTAGAAGTTTGTTTTCCTTAACCGTAGACTAGGTATAATAATATCTTCCTTGACGACCTCAAGTAGATTCTGGGGGCATCAGATGAGATAATGAATGCGAATGAGCTTCATACACATTATATAAATAGAGACTAGAGAGGTAGTATTAAGAATGGAAAGAACCTTGGATTTGGTTGCATAAGACCTAAGTACTGGCAGTGGCTCTGCCTGTTATTGTTTTTTTTTTAAGGCTTCTATGAGTCTGTTTTTTAATCTATCATACCTATGCTACGTATTTTATATGATAGATGTCATGTAAATGCAATAATGTTTATTAAAGTTCCTTGGAAATTACAAAGCCTACTATTAAAATCTCAGGTGTTCTCAATAATTTATGCTGCTTAATCATCCATAGCACTGGTTGTTGGTCTTAGGACTAAAAATCTACCATATAGATTAATTTTACTACATGAGATTTATACTATAACTAATGATATTGGAAAATGCCTTCGTCTGTTTTCTGATGGTTTGCATCCTGATGGACTTCTATTATAGTAGCAGTTTAAGGCGTTGGGATACAAAGTATGAGAGGAAAGTACCACCCTCTTGAAGCACATTTGAAGATAGAAATTAATAGAAGTTAAATTGAAAATTACAAGTTTTATTTTAAGTGCTATCCTTACATTAACATTTGCCTTATAGATGCTAACCACAGAACACTAAAATGAGCATTCTCTCCAAGGAAGAAATTGATATGCATGTTCATAAAGGGTGTCTTTGAACATGTGTGCTGAGCTACGTAGTTTCCCTTTTTGATATTCTCCTTATTCTCCCACCACCACCTTCCCCACTTGCCACCCTTAGTTTGAAATCTTTGGGCAAAGAGGAGATTAGCAAAATATGTGTATGGCTTGACTCAATGTAAGAATCCATTTAGTTTTGCTACCAGTGTTTGGTTTTAAATATTTAAGCTTGATGTTTCTTTGGTTTTAGGAGGGCTGGTTTCGGACGGCTGAAAATATGGGCTTTCAGTGCCTAAAGGTTGAGAGCAAAGACCCCCGGCTGGATGGAATAGACTCACTTTCTGGAACCGAAATTCCCCTGCACTACATCTGCAGATTGGCTAATCATGCCATCCACTTGGTGGTCTTTCATGAGAGGAGTGGCAACTACCTCTGGCACGGCCATTTACGACTCAAAGGACGCGTGGACCGGAAATTTGTTCCTTTTCGAAAGTTACAGTTTGGCCGTTATCCTGGAGCTTTTGACAGGTAAATTCAGGATGTAAAGGGGAGTTCTGAAACCTGTAGTGTCCAGTCATGAATTCTTACTCTTTTCCTACATTTTGTAATTAAATCTAACATGTAATTCACACAAATCAGTTTTGAAATGTAAATACCCAACAGCAAGAAACTCATGCACATGCGTGCTAGGAAATACGCATACGAAATACTAGAAACATTGTTTTTAATGCCCCCAGACTTTGTGTATTCATACCGTGAAGTATTGTAGAGCAGGGACATGAATGGATTAGTGCTCTGTGTAACAACGTAGATGAATCCCACAGTGTTGAGTGACAGAAGCAATGCGTAAAATAATACAACTCTTGATTATATTCATAAAATGTGCAAACACAGGAGAAAGTATGTTCATGGATATATGCTTACATAGTAAAAATTGTCAAAAGGTACAAACTTCCAGTTATAAGATAAGTAAGTTCTGGGGATGTAATGGACATTGTGGTGACTATAGCTAACAGTGCTGCATTGTATATTTGACAGGTGCTGAGAGAGTAGATCTTAAAAAGTGGTAACTGAGGAAAATATGCTTGACGTTTAGCTTTTTTGCTTATGTCATGTGTTTTGAAGAGGCTGCCAGCTTTCTGGGTTAAGTCCTAATAAGAAATCCTCACTTTTGTTTTCAGGCCAGAGTTACAACAAATTACTGTTGATGGACTCGAAGTTCTCATCCCGAAAGATCCAGTGCAGTTTCTAGAAGAAATACCACACTCTCGGTTTATTGAGTGTAGGTATAAGGAAGCTCGAGCATTTTTTCAGGTTAGAAGTAATCAAATATTGTACTTTTTAAATTAGAAGAGGTGTGTTTATTTTTAATGTTTCCAGGGAGGGGTAGGAAATGAAGGGACCTATAGTAAATAGGTAAGAAAACATCTTTTTTGATTCATTGTTTTTCTTCTAGATTGCTTTATTTGAATTTTTTTTTTTTTAAAGGAGAGTAAACATTAACCTTAAGAAACGATTTCTCTCCTAGTTGAATGGTGTGATGTTTATGGAGACCTTGTTTTATTGGGGTAGGCTCTGGTAGGTTTAGCACTGGCCTCTGCTTTCAGTTAGGATACCCCATAAACACTATCAAAGGTGGTGCATTCTTAAGGCGCCTCCCCGTAGGATGAAGCCACTGTAGAAGGTGGACCATGTAGATTTGGGAAAGGTTTCACGGAAAATGCAGTTTTTCTCAGAGGGCTGGCAATGCATATGAATGTTCTGTGTTTATGAAGGTTTTGAAGGTAAATGCTATGCAGAGACCAGTGCTTTTTGAACTTTACTTTATTCTGCTGCTCTCGCTTTCAATTCAATAAACACTTATTGAAAGCCGTTTTCCCAGGAACTCTGCTGACCCTGGGGATGTAAAGATGATTTTGAGAGGCATGAAGTTTCAGCTCTGAGAGATGACTTAAAACAGAAATACAGTGAAACCAGTCAGAATTTATGGTGGGGTTTTGGTACCCCGATCCTTCCACTTGCCCTTTATTTTCTGGGGTTCCCTTCTAAGAAAGGTGTAGACACATGGACAGGAATAGAATGAGGAGATGAAGTACCAGCTGTATAATCGCTGGCTAAGTGCCCCACACCCGCAAATGCAAGATTTTTCTGGTAGGCGGTGCTGGTCCCTGGGACCAAGGCCTGACAGCCTTCCTGGTGGGTCTTCCCAGCCCAGTCTCCTTAGATCTGTAATTGTGAGCTGTGGAACATACCCAGTCAGCCTCATGGATGACAAGCTGGAAAACTACGTGGACGAATCTACTATAGTCGACAAGTGCTGAGCATCATACCCCTACCACGAAGGAAGTAACAGGAAGCAGAGGAGATGCAGTCTGCTGCCTGAGCTTGACCACTCGCTCTTCTTGCCTTAAGGGAGTTTGCTCTGGTTGCCACCTCTGTCAGAGCACTTCCCACAGTGAATTGCGAGTATATGTCTTGTCCCCCTACTAGATTATGTGAACTTATTGATGGCAGGCTTGTTGTTCACTTCTGTAGCCCCAATATCTAGAGCAGCATCTGGCACAAAGAAAAGATCCTATAATTTGGAAACATGTTTGGAGAATAAGGTGCTCATCTGAATCAAATGAATTTTCTAAGGACACTTATTAGGACTTCTCCATTCCCTAGCAAGCATTTGTCCAGGCTGATTTTGACGATCTTTGTGAGAAGGCAATGTAAAATGTAAAATGCTTCAAAATATTGGTACATCATTAGGATGGTATCAGGTTTTTTAATTGCGTGTTTTCATTCTTGCTTTTGAAATTTTCAGCGCAAGCCCTCAATCAGCTTTTGAGTAAAGAATATGGATGGCAGATGCTCAGAAGGCTTATCGGCTTATCATATATAGCCTCGTAGTTTTGGTGTTTAAAGCACCATCACATAGCAAGACTACCATCCCATCGGAGGTTTATATTTATAGTAAAATCAGGTGGAACTTTGTATTCATTCTTAATTACATTATTTGTGTCCCTTCACTTGCAGCAAGATATACTTGTGATTTCTAATCTGCTTTTCTCTTTCGTTATTGTATTGGTATTACTGATTTAGGGTGCCTAATTAAGTTGATAACTCTTTTATTCTTATTCTCTTAAATGTTTCATTCTTCATTATTTCTTAGTATTAGAACCAAGGTCCCGTTTTCGAATTAAAGTGGACATATATAACTTTGAACACTTGATGGCGCCAAACAATCTTAAATACAATGCCTGGTGTAAAGTAAGCAGTGAACTAATCTCACAGAACTCATAAAACAACCTTCTAACTTTCTATTTTTAATATTTTTTTTTTCTGGAAACATACTTAAACTTTCAGAAAAGTGGTAAATAAATACAAATAAATATTTTTCCTGAACCATTTGGGAGTAAGTTGTCGACCATATACCCCACAACCCCGAATAATTTAGTATTTTCCCCAAACAAAAACATTGTCCTACATTGTCTTAATACAGAAATAAGGATGTTAGATCACCATTTTAATCCCCATTCAAGTTTTGCTAATTGCCCCAGAAATAGCTTTTGTGATAAAAGAATTCAGTTCAGAATAAATTATAATAAAAGGATTCAGAATCACATGTTGTATTTAATTTTTTCATCTCTTCAGTCTCCTTCAGTCTGAAATGGTTTGATAGTCCTTTTTAAAGTTTTATGATTGATGCTTTTGAAGATTACAGGCAGATGTTTTGTAAATTGTCCCTCATCTAGAAGTTTGTCTGTTTTTCCTCATGTTAGATTCAGGTTATACACCTGTAGTAGGAACACCACAAGTGATTCTGTGCTCTTCTCATTACATCCTATCAGGTGCTGTGTGGTTGTGATTTGTCCCATTACTGCTGTGTTACATTGATCACTTGATTAAAGTGCTGTCTGCTAGCTTCAACCCTGTGAAGTTTCTGTTTTTCCCTTTGTCATTAATAGAAATTTGGCATGAAGGTACTTTAAAACTATGAAAATATTGTGTCATCATCAATCTTTTTTTTCAATTTTATTTTAGAGAGAGAGCGTGCAAGTGGGGAAGAGGGAAAGAGGTAGAGAGACAGAATCTTAAGCAGGCTCCATGCTCAGCGTGGAGACCAAGGCAGGGCCCTGATCGCATGACACTGGGATCATGACCTGAGCCAAAATCAAGAGTCAAACGCTCAACTGACTTAACCACCCAGGTGCCCCTCATCATCAATCTTTTAATTTATTTGTCTATATCAGTATGAACTCATGGTTTCCTATTTTATTTACTACATTGTATTCACTACATTCATTATTTTCATTATCTTCAAATTGATTCATATTTGGCCAGTGGGAACCCCTTCATGATGACTTCTGTCATTTTGACATGTCTTCATCAGTTTTTGAGCACTTGTTTGCTCTTTGCCACAGGTGCTCTAGGTTCATCTTGTAATTTCCCTGCCACACACATGGAATCAGCCATTTCTTTAAGTCCTGGTTCCTTTTAGAAGTGAAGGTTTGGGGGCACCTGGGTGGCTCAGTTGATTAAGTGTCCATCTCTTAATCTCAGCCCAGGCCATGGTCTCAGCATTCATGTGATCAAACCCCACGTAGGGCTCTGCACTGACAGTGCAGAGCCTGCTTGGGATTCTATCTCTCCCTCTCTCTGCCCCTCCCCTGCTCACGTTCTTCCTCTCTAAATAAATAAATAAATAAATAAGTGAAGGTTTGGATGCCAGGTGTGCTCATTGCTACTTGGGTTTTGTTGCACACAGACCCTCTGAGTGACTGTGTGTGTGTGTGTGTGTGTGTGTGTGTTTATTTCTATTTATTTCTATATCCATCTATCAAGATCCATGAATTCACACTGATACCACCAGCCAACTACTTTATGTTTCAGTTAAACATCATAGGGTTTATTTTCTTATTTGTGACTCCCTTCTCAAATAGTAAGAAACATAACTCCTGTTATTCTTAATATATTTACTTACTTGTTTAGTCTCCTGTCATTGCTTCTGTCCTGTCTCCCACATGGATGCTGTCCTCACCCTGCCTGAGTGTTAATAATCTCCTACTGGGCTGCCCCCATCTACAGACATACTTCTCAAACTGCTCAGGCTCTGACTCCCAGCACTGGACACCTCCCTCCATGTGGTTCTCTTAGCACTTGCTCAGGCTCTGACACCAGCCACTCATATGCATTTTCTTGCTCTGCCTTAGCTAATGGTTCTAAGAGTGAATAGTTCAGGATGGGAGGGGGAAGAGAATGGGAAGTGTTCTCTTGACTTACTTTTAATTATTTTCTCAAATCTACCAAGAAGTTTAGAAATAGGATAATTTACATTTTCCTCAACTTGATTTGTTTCAGCAGTAACCATCAAAAGAAATTAATGAGTTCCAGTCTAGTCTGTTGAATTCCAGTGAAAAACCAGAGGGAAACATGGAAATATCTGGACATCTGGTCTATAAATATCTACAAAGCTGTATTATCCTCCTCCAACTGCTAATTTTTTTTATGAGACTTTGGGCAAATTTCTGAGCCTTAATTTCCTCATCTATAAAACGAGTGGATAGCTTCTGTCATGTTACTTTCAGTCTATACTTGGGGGGAAGGTTTGTGGAAAGGTTGCCTGAATGGCAAAGATCAAATGGACATGATACTTAAATTGGGATTTTGTCTTTTTCCAGAGGCGTGGTAAGCCCAAGATTGATATAAGATATTTTTTTAAGCGGAAAAGAATATGCATACTCTAATTTTTAAAATCCATAACAGATGCAAAAGGTTGATAAGCGTATACACTTTAATACATATGAGAGTCAATTCTAAGAAATGGAGTTTCTGGGAATGTCATGTTAGGAAAGGTACGTCAGAGGTGGGAGTATGTCCATGCAGGAGACAGCCTCAGTAGGACATAACTATCAGGGTAACCTTTTTTATCAATCACAGAGTTTTCATGTCTGTTATTTAGTTTGACCCTTACAGTCACTCTGTGAAATAAGGCAAGTATTTGCCTTTAACAGATTAAAAAAAAAAAATGAGGTTTCAGTTTTGTGTCATTACTTTGTGTCAGTTTTCAGTCATTACTGGCTGAGCATTCACTAAAACCTGGGTCTCCGGTCTTTCCCACCACACCAAGGGTAAGAACATGTGCCCCTCATTCCAGTCATTTTTTAAAATTTTTTTAAATGTTTATTTCTTTTTGAGAGAGAGAGAACATGTGTGAGCAGGGGAGGGGCAGAGAGAGAAGGAGACACAGAAGCAGGTTCCAGGCTCTGAGCTGTCAGCACAGAGTCCAACACAGGGCTCGAACTCATGAGCCATGAGATCATGACCTGAGCCGAAGTTGGACGCCCAAAACTGAGCTACCCAGGTACTCCTCCAGTTATATGTTCTAAGGGAAGCTATGACTCTGAAGATATTTTCATCTTGAAGGGATCCTGTATAATTTGTATGTTCTGGAGAAGGCAATTTATCTTCTGGGAGCCCACTTTCTTCCTAGGGACACTTTTTTCTTAAGATCCCTAGAGTCCCAGTGCGCCTGGGTGGCTCAGTCGGTTTAGCAGCCAACTCTTGATACCGGCTCGGGCCATGATCTCACGATGGTGAGATCAAGCCCTGTGTCAGGCTCTCTACAGAGCATGAAGCCTGCTTAAGATCCTCTCTCTGTCTCTCTCTCTCTCCCTTCCTCCCTCTCTCCCTCTCTGTCACTCTCTCCTTTTCCTCCACCTCTCCCCACTCTCGCTGTCTCTCAAAATAAATAAATAAAGTTTAAAAAAAAAATCCCAAGAGTCCCTCCAGGAACCATATTTTCTCCTGTTATATTATGAAAGAATGACAGGATATTACAGGATATTATAGGCAGGGTTAGTGTAGGAGGGTCATATTCATTTATTCATTCACCCATTTTCCACCATGTGATGTTCACATATTATGTGCCAGGCACGATTCTAAATTTGTATCTATAGTGGTGGGGAGATTTAGTATGTGCCCTCCAGGAACCATCTTTATAGCCTAGCGGAGGAAACATAAATAAAATAAAAACTGTGAATTAAATATGATAAGAATTATAGTCAAAGTGTTTATACATGGTAACTATTATAACTCATTGAACAGATTCATTTGTCTTTGTATCTAGGACAAATACATTTTTTTCCCTTCAAATGTTGAACAAAAGGGCAGTACTGGTAGAATAAATACATACATCTTCCTGGGAAAATTAGGGAATGTTTCTCAAAGGGTGGAACACAGACCTAAAAGATTTTGTTGGTCAGGAGCATTTCAGATAAAAGAATTAGTATGTGTAAAGACACGGAGGCTCAAAAAGTTGTGGTATATTGGGGGAGTTAGAAGTTACTGCTGTATTATGAAGTGTGAGGAGGGTAGAGATGAGGCTGGACCAGTAGACAGGAACCAGAACACAAATGTCCTTTTCTGCTATGCCAAGAAGTTTCCATTTTGACCCATAGGTAGTGAAGCATCAGTGAAGAATTTATAGTGTTTTCCTCAGTCTAGAATAGTCTAAAAATGAAGAAACTTAGAAAAGCATGGCCAAGTAAATGATCATGATGATATTTGTATAGAACTTCATAGTTTATGAGACATTTTTCTGTCATCCATTGTCTTATCAAATCTTCACAGCAGTCCTGCAAAGTATAATTATTATCCTTCAAGTTACTGGTGAGGAAACTATATATAAGAGAGGTTTGTTCTCTCATTCCCTTGCTCATCAGGCACTAGAGATAAAGTGATAAAATGAAGTCACTTTCCTCATAGAGCTTGTGTTCTCTTCTGAGGTGAGATGCCCCGCATCACAACTGAGAAGAAGAGGGGCTAGACCTAAACACAGATAATCTGATTCAAAATCCCAGGCTCTTTCTACTACACTCTGCAGTCTCAAAAGACCAATTGAATCCATGAATCATGAAAACGTCACTGAATGCATTTTGTTCAGATATGCTTTTAGCTCTCAGAATTAGTCTTCTTTTCTCCTAACTGCCTAGTCTGCTAAATTGTGATGTGGAGGAGGGAGTGGATGAAGGTTTAAGTCTCATCCTTTGGGAATCCTGGTTATACTTCTTCCCCTTTTACTTGTCTTTCGAAGAATCTGCTCCTGTGTTCTTATAAAATAAATGTGCAAGTAACAAGGAACTCTGAAACTGGATTTTTTATAACAGAAAATTTATAATATGGGGTTAATTTTCAAATTTAATTTAGATGTCACCGAAATATTTCTAGCAATTTAGAAATGGCTGTAATAGTTGACTGTTCTATCTGTAGCAGTACCTTGATGATAACACTGTGGAAGCCATGGCCTTTCGGAAGAGTGCAAAGGAATTGTTGCAGCTAGCAGCCAGAACGTTAAAGAAATTGGGAGTCCGGTTCTGGCTGAGCAGTGGAACTTGTCTAGGTAAAATTCTTTGTTGCTTTACATTTGTCTTTTTGTCATTTCATCCTCTTTGCCTTTAGGGATGATTGCTTGAGATGACACAACATCAGTGATATTTGAAGTGTCATATTTATAGACAGAATAAGCGTAGTGCATGGAACAGGAATTTATTGATTTCTTTAAAGACATTAATTTCAGAAACATAAAAGAGTTAGGAAGGCCATGTTGTGTTTACCAAAAACTGTAAGCCATGTATAAAATTTATATCAGAATGGGTAGACTGTGTTTGATCTCCAGGTAATCCTTAGGTTAGCATTTTATTATTTCTATCCTGAAGATTGTTCTGCCTTTAAAAAAAAAAAACCCTCTCTTCTGTTTCTTTCCAAAAAAAAACAACTTTTTTTAATGTTTATTTATTTTTGAGAGAGAAAGAACATGAGCAGGGGAGGGATAGAGAGAGAGAGGGAGACACAGAATCTGAAGCAGGCTCCAGGCTCTGAGCTGTCAGCACAGAGACCGACGCAGGGCTCGAACTCATGAACTGTGAGATTATGACCTGAGCTGAAGTTGGACGCTTAACTGTTCTGTTTCTTTACCTACACCACACAAATGAGAGGAGGGCTAAAGGACATAGCATAAGGTATTCCCACAAATCTTTCCAAGTCACTGATAGTATTACTGGTTGGGCATCACTGCCTTCCCACATTCTGTTCATTCTCAGATGGGAAATGTAGACTTTTCTAGAGTCCTCAGGCAAGTTGCCGTTAGAACCTAAGAAACATTTATGGGTCTCTTTCCACGATACATTGGATCAAACTCCTTTGCAATTTAGAATTATTTAAAACCTTAAGTTTTAATTGTTTTTATTTACTTGTTTATAACTGTAGTTGGTTGTAACTGTATTCTTTGATTATAACTTTATTTGTACAGAAATTAATTCAGCTCCTGTTTTTAATTATTTAAAAAAAATTTTTTTAATGTTTATTTTTGAGAGAGAGACAGAGCATGAGTGGGGAAGGGTCAGAGAGAGAGGGAGATACAGAATCTGAAGCAGGCTCCGGCTCCGAGCTGTCAGCACAGAGCCTGACGCGGGGCTTGAACTCATGAGCTGTCAGATCATGACCTGAGCTGAAGTCGGACACTTAGCTAACTGAGCTGCCCAGGCGCCCCAATTCTGCTCCCATTTTTATAGTGTTACTATATAATTTATTGTCCAAGAGACTCTTGAGAGTGAAAAGGAGTGCCATTAGTAATCATGTTGGTATGATAGACAGAAACTGGGATATATGATTAGGCTATCTGTTAGGCTCTATGGAAATTCACATGGTTCTTTCTGTCAAGGAGCTTGCACTAAGAGTAGCCAAGAAAAAGAGAGTACATCTCACACATTTATGTGATATATGCTTTAAGGTTTAACTTTTTGAAGCAAGATTGTGTTATAGATTATGTCATCAGAAATACCTCTTAATCACTTGTCATGATTTGTTTTGCATTTTTAGCCCCATGATTTTCTTCATTTAGGAGCAAAATGAGGGAGTTGGATTAGATGATATTTAAGGAGCCTTCCATTTTTAAGAGTTTATGTTTCTTTGATAGATGAGTATAGATTTTTCTCAAGCTAGAGATAGACCCCATCCTAGATATTTAGATCTATGGTACAATGAAATTAAAGTTTAGAATTCCAAATAGTATTGCCCAATAGCAGTGCCTGTAAAGACAGTTGTAGACATTTATTTACTTTCTGAATAATTTGGATGAAAGAATTAGAAGGATACTAGGGAAGATCCAAGAGCGCTTAGTAGTAGTAAGGTTTTGGTTTTTTAGAACAGTATTATAGCACCTAATTAAGAAGTAGATACATAGTAAATATACCTAGAAATATATTTTTTATTTATTTTTTATTTATTTTTCAATATATGAAATTTATTGTCAAATTGGTTTCCATACAACACCCAGTGCTCATCCCAAAAGGTGCCCTCCTC